CTGGGAACCCCAACAATTAATGTTCTCCTGTGGGGCCGAGAAGCAACAGAACAAAACGTCAGTCTCAGAAGGGCACAGGGAGAGTCCCTGCACCAGGGCAAGCCCAAGCGACCAACCAGCCAAACCCAGAGTATGAGCTGGATGGGCAAACAGGAGCAAAAAAAAAAAAAATTACTTTTTGTAGTGACCCAGCCACTCCCAGTCTTTATTCAGGCCTAATTTGATGGTGTCAAGTTTGCAAATTAATTCCAGTTCTGCAGTTTCTCGTTGAAGTCTGTTTTTGAAGTTTTTTTGTTGAAGAATGGTCACTTTTAAGTCTGTTATTGAGTGTCCAGGGAGACTGAAGTGCTCTCCTACTGTTTTTTGAATATTACAATGATTTATGTCCATTTATTCTTTTGCGTAGAGACTGTCCGGTTTGGCCAATGTACATGGCAGAGGGGCATTGCTGGCATATGATGGCATATAACACGTTGGTAGATGTGTAGGTGAACGAGTCCCTGATGGTGTGGCTGATGTGATTAGGTCCTATGATGGTGTCCCTTGAATAGATATGTGAACGGGCTTTGTTGCAAAGGATAGGTTCCTGGGTTAGTGTTTCTGTTGTGTGGTTGCTGGTGAGTATTTGCTTCAGGTTGGGGAGCTATCTGTAAGCGAGGACTGGCCTGTCTCCCAAGGTCTGGGAGAGTGAGGGATCATCCTCCAGGATAGGTTGTAGATCCCTGATGGTGCACTGGTGAGGTTTTAGTTGGGGGCTGTAGGTGATGGTCAGTGCCCACATCCACCCTGATTGAATTGGGCTCGTTACACTACAAAAAGTAATTTTCCCTCTGTTGATATTCACCCCTTCTTGTCAGCTATTGGGAATGGGCCACATCCACCCTGACTGAATTGGCCTCGTTAACACTTGCCTCCCTACTTGGTAAGGCAACTCCCATCTTTTCATGTGCTGTATATTTATACCTACCTACTGTATTTTTTGCTCCATGCATCTGATGAAGTGAGTTATAGCCCACAAAAGCTTATGCCCAAATAAATTTGTTAGCCTCTAAGGTGCCACGAGGACTCCTCGCTGGTTTTGCTGATAGACTAACAGCACGGCTACCCCTCTGAAAGTTATACACAGGAGCCCATCGGTCCCCAGCACAAAAAGAGAAACTTGTCGCCTGCAGTTAATTTTTGACTTTATCCAAACCCAAGGGACTCTGAACCCCAGTGTTTTGCATCCAAAGGAAGTGTCCCATGAACCTTCAAACATGGAACCTACTCACCAGAAGTCCTGACACCCCAGTGAAACAGCAGCACACACACACAAACCCATGAGGTGGTAGTGTGGGCCCACTTAGTTTCTCACCAGGCCCTGCACCCTGGATATACAGGAGCAGGGGAGAATTTTTCACAGCCTCTGGCTAGTCAATTTAAGTTCCTGATTAGCAGATATATAGGGAATTTTTCACACCCTGGTTAAACACACACACATGCGCATGCTCAGGCAGGCTTTGAGAATTGGTTGCATTGCAGGAAATGGGGATGGGGTTAAGTGGAGCCCGTACAGGGTCTGTGACTAAGCTCTGGGGGAGCATGTGCCAGTGGAGCAACTCAGCTCAGTGCTCCCCCAGTGGCCCAGCTGGGCTGGCTGGAGCAAAAAGAAAGGGCCACATCCCTGCCCTAGCCCTGGCACTTTAGGGGTGGCCAAGGTGCACTGAGCTTGGGGCTGGCCACTGAACAGAAAAAAGCTCCCCACAGCCCCAGCACGGCTCTGTGAGATGCTGTATCAATAGTGGAGGAGCTTAACCATGGGCAAAGATCCAAAATATTCCCTTCAAAGGGATCTCCAGCAGGAGACAGGAAGTGACTGGAGTGAAACTTACTACAGGGGTAGGTTTCAGAGTAGCAGCCGTGTTAGTCTGTATCCGCAAAAAGAACAGGAGTACTTGTGGCACCTTAGAGACTAATAAATTTGTTAGTCTCTAAGGTGCCACAAGCACTCCTGTTCTTACTACAGGGGTAGTCGATTATTTTTTGTCAAGGTCTTGGTCAAGGTATAGTCAAGGTCCAGGCTCCAGAGAAAATAATAATAATAATAATAATAATAATAAGTAAATAAAAAGATTTTGAGTCCGGTCAAAAGTGTCTGGTGCTCTGGTTTTTCCCGCAGACCGCCTGTTGACTACCCCAGGACTAGGAGACGTGTTTCCAGGAGACTGTCCATACGGCCTCTCCAATCCCAATTGTAACTTGGTCCCAGACTAACAGTGAGAACACCACAGCCCCTCGGAGGGTTACGGACAGCTGGTATAATTACTGATACCCTCTCCCGACTTGGAGGCTGCCTTTTTCACATGAAGGTGACGTGTGCCAAAGGAAATGAAAACTCTGTCTGGCAAGTTGTTCATTAGGAAACGTATCCTGAGACGGGGCTCTTGGGACAGTGAAATTCCGACAGTGAAACTAGTTTAAGACCTTGTGGTGAGCAGCAATCAGCCACAGTGCAGGCAGGTTTAATTACTGTCACTGAACGAGGCTAAGGGAGTTCTGCAGCAGCTGTACCCCTCATAAAGGTCTCATGAATTTCTTAACTAGATCTACCCATTACAAGTCATAATTGTTACAATTACTGGCCCAGACCCTCTACCCCAGCCTACCCATGCACCTGTGCAGATTCTAACTGGACTCCATATGGGAGGGTGTAGGGACCGGGGCCCACACTGATCTCACAGCAGGGTCTGTGCCCCTGGCTTGATAATTCAGGTCCCTCTTCTGATTTCCCAAGCACTTGCAAGTTATCAGGAAATAGCCACCAAACACGCAGATAATAATTATCAGGCTAAAATTTATTCCCGTCGCATCACCTACACCACATGCTATCGTTTCTCTCCCTCTTCCCCCCCCCCCCAATTGGACAACAAGCTTTCTAAACCTAAAGAACAAGACAGAATCGGCCCTTTCTGGGACACGTCTTCAGACCAGTAATTGCTGGGGCTAAAAAGCCAGGATTCGTGACCAGCTTCTGTGCAGCCCTCATTGCTACGCAGACACTCACAAGTAACATACAATCCAAACCAAGACCCACACCAGCCTGAACCCAGCACTTCTGCCTGCCTGTAAAGAGAGCCACAGACACCCCCCTCTTCCCACAATTTCACTAGCTCCCTCCACAGCTATGGAAATATTCCTTTCAGGTGATGGGCCCTGAGTCATCATCAAATAGAAAGAGGCCGGCCGCCCAGGGGTGTCTTAAAAGAAACTCTGGCCACATCGCCACTTGAAACAGCTCCCGCTCCATCCCGTGACACTCAGTGCAGGGGCTGGGCGAGACAACCTCTCCAGGTCCCTTCCAGCCCTACATGTCTAGGATTCTACGATTTCAGAGATGGCATAACAAAGAGCAACTATTATTTTTGCTCCTCTGTAGTGTAAACAGGATGCCTAATGAGGACTTGTGGGATGCGGCTAATCGCTCCAGATCACGGGCAACACACTTCAGGCTCAGCGCCTTCATCTCACACTTACCAATACATTCTGCACCCACAGATATTTCAGAGTTTTTCTACCTATTGACAGTCTCCCCTAGTCTCCTATGGGAACAGGAGAACACCCTGCACTGGAAATTCCTGCTTTGCTGTGTATTTTTCTAATCTTACTGTTTACTCGCCCTCTCAAAAGCACATATTTTTACCCTGGATTTTACTCTTTTTCAGGTATTTAAATATCGAAAAACCCAAGAGCTCAGCCCATGCAGAAAGAATGTGTGTGTGTTCTCTCAGGTATGCAGCTGGGCTGAGGACAGATAACATAGTGCATCTATTAAGATCTTACAGGTGTTAGCCACTTTCATCTAGGTGCTAAGATGTGCTCTGCTCATTAAGGAGCATGCTTCCCGTGCTCAGGACAGAACGCTTGCTGCATAAAGCAAAGATGATCTATTTGCTCAGCTGTTTAAAGACAATAATACCTCCTACCTGAACTGCCAACACACAGAGCTTCTCCCATGCAAAGCTGGGCTTAACAGAGTGCTCGACACCCTTTAAACCCGGCTCTCCAGGCCAGCACAAGAACGTTCAGCAAGGGTATTAATTGCACAGGCGCTGCATAATAATTAGCCTCTGAATCTAGGGCCTCTCGTCAGATGACAATAGAGAACTGGATGCACTGACTCAATAGACTGGGCAAAGCACATGGTTCTGCAATAAATCAAGCAGTGGCATTGCCCCTTCTGTCATTGCCCCCCCCCCCCACCCGAGCTCAGTTTATCACAGCCCCCCACCACACACACACCATACAGGCCCATGTTTACAGGGGTCCTTAAACTAGGGAAGGAGACAAATCTTCCCCCCTAAAAACCACCCCCAATATAAATGTAGTGTCAGCACCAGGGGGGGACCAGATGCCCATGGTGGAGGGAGGAAGACTAGGTGCATGGGGGTAACGGGGGAGACCGGGAGCAGGAAAACCTGGGGGGAAGAGGGAAATGGGATAGGGGTCCCTGGGGCACAGGGAGGTCCAGGGAAGGAGTAAGAGGAGAGGGGCGTGGGACACCCAGTGGGGAAGGGGATGTAGGAGCCCCTGGGAAGAAGGAAGACATCCCTGGGGGCAGTGGGGGGCAGGGCCCCAGGGAGAGGGAAGGGGTCCCTCGGACGCAGTGGAGGGCATGGCCCCAGGGAGAGGGAAAGGGTCTCCGGGGCGCAGGACGCAGTGGGGGGCAGGGCCCCAGGGAGAGGGAAGGGGTCTCCAGGGCACAGGGCGAAGTGAGGGGCAGGGCCCCAGGGAGAGGGAAGGGGTCTCCGGGGCGCAGGACGCAGTGGGGGGCAGGGCCCCAGGGAGAGGGAAGGGGTCTCGGGGACGCAGGGGGGAGGGCAGAGCCCCAGGGAGAGGGAAGGGGTCTCGGGGACGCAGGACGAAGGGGGCGGGCAGAGCCCCAGGGAGAGGGAAGGGGTTTCCGGGGCGCAGGACGCAGTGGAGGGCAGGGGTCCCTGCTCTGCCAGGCCGGGATTACTCACAGCGCCCGCAGCTTGACCCACATCTTCTTGCTGGGGGCGGACTTGAGCTCCAGCGGGGACGGGCAGCCCTCGGGGGACTCCAGCAGGTCCCGGTCCAGCTGCGGGGGGCTCCGCGGAGCGTCCATCTCCTGCTCCCTCTGCAGCGCGGGGGAGAGAGACCGTGAGAGCCGGCGGGCAGCTGCCACCCCACCGCCCCGGCTCCCCGTGCGTGCCCCGGCTCCCCCCGCGCCCGGAGCCGCTGGCCCCTGCTTCCTGCGGCCAGTTACCCGAGTCGGTGGGCGCGTCCTGCGCTCAGCCCTGGCGACCCCGCCGCCCCTGCTGCCAGGTGCCTGCGCAAGGGCCGGGGAGCCGGAGAAGCAGCGCCCGGAATGTGCGCACAGCGGAGCAGCCTGGCTCAGCCAGGCGCCGCCGGTCCCGCCCGCTTGCCAGATAATGGCCTCTCTCCGGAGCGCCTGGGCGAGCCCACCCCCTCTGCCAGCGCTCCCGGCCGGGAGGGGCTCCCCGCCCCAATCCGGGCAGCTGGGAGCGCCTCCCCCCGCCAAGGTACCGGCGGAGACGCAGCTCGCTCAGCCTCTTGCACCGCCGCGGGGGCTGGCCGGGCAGGACATCCCCGGTCCCGGCCCCGCGAACGCGAGCTCCGGCTGCGCCTTCCCTGCCAACCGCTGTTCCGCCAGGGACTGCAGGCGCCTGGCGTTTGGAGATGAAGCTAAAATGGCATCCGGTGGGTGCCAAGGTACCGGGGCCCCGGGGCTCCTCTGTAGATGGACCCTGGCACGGAGGAGGGAGACAAGAAAAGCTCGTTTAAACCCGAACCTGCTGCATTATTAACCAGGCGATTCTGCTGCCTGGACAGCGCTGGCTCCTCGACCCCGGCCCCTCCCTGACTTCCCGGATTCCCAGAGGAAATTAGGGAGGCTGTAACTTTAAATAAGTGGGACCCCGCGAATGGTGCAGAGCCGGAGGGTGGCTGGGCTTCCCCCTCCTTCTCGGATCGCGACCGCACCGCCAGGGCAGGGGTTGGGGCACGTGCGCTCCGTGTGTCTCCCCGGAGAGCTGGGGTCAGCCCGCACATGGAATGAGTGCGGAGGCCTCCGCCTGTTGCTAGGGGAAGCTGAGCCCCGCCACAGCTCTGGTCTGCAGAGGAGTCCCGAACCCAGTACCCCCCAGGTTTTAACCTCAGCTGTTAACCCGTCTCCACCGCTGGCTTAACGGAGCTGAGACACACCTCTTTCTGCGGTGTAGACATAGCCTGCAAGAGAGACCAACTCAGATGAGCCTCTTCCCCCTCCCCCCCCCATACCATGGCCTCAGCTCTCCAAGAGAGGATCTGTGGGGTATTTGCACGGGCTCAGGAAGATACTGGCCCCTTCCAGCCAGGCTGAGGGGCTGCTCTGAAAAAAAAGGGTAGATGCCAGAAGACCCCTCTCCGCCCAAATAGGGCAGCAGGACATCCCCTGGCTTTTGATCAGCCAGTGGGCGATGGGAAGGGCTACAGGCTGGGAAAGCTCCTCCATGGGAAGAGAGGCTGGGAAGATGGGGCCTGTTTGGTTTAGAGAGGGGGCAAATAACACTGCAAATGACTGGGGAGGGGTTAGAGGAGGTGAATTGCACCCACCCTCATAAAGACAAGAGGGTGCTGGGTGAAGTGGAAAGGCACAAAACTTACACCCAGCAAAAGGAAATGCTCTTGATCAAAACACAAAGTAGCCTGCGGAACTCACTGCCACAGGGGGCATTGAGGCCAAGAGTTTAGCAGCATTCAGGACCAGGCTGGTCACTGATAGGGATAATCCCATCTTCTGCACTTACATTAGCTAGGGGGTGATTTACACTAGACAGTCACACACTTGGCACTTTGTGCAGGCCAAACTGCAACCCTAAGTGCCCCTCAGGGCCAGCTGGCAAGGGGGTTACAAGAATAGCCTCATTCTGGTATGTACAATCTGGGGCATGTGAGGTCTTAAAGCCAGGGGCACCCTGGGCATTAGCATTGTTGTGAAATGCATGTACAGAGACTATGTCAGGAGTTATGTATGTATGCTAATAATATGGTCTTAAAGTCTGTATGGAGGCAGAGTTGACAAACAGGATTCTGCCGGACAGAGGATGTTTATTCACCTGTCTCTGTCAGCCCACGTGTAAATTAAGATTGTGAGTTAACACAATACAGCATCATTTAAATGCAAAGTCGGGAGGGGGGGGGCGTTGAAGGCAGCACACCAGACTACGGGGTCATCCTGCCTCCCTGAGGCACAAACACTGAACTTTGGAGACTGTCAGGAAAAGGCAAGGGAGGCTCCCCTTAGTCCTGCACCAAGCAAGTCATCAGGCAGCCCGATGACACTCATGATTACAGAGTCTCAGCCAGGCTTGGCTGCAAGGACACCAGCGAGATGAACGCGTAACCTGGTGCACTCACTAGTGCTCACGTCTCCCCCTTTGAGAGACGAGTTAGTGTGAAAACGATCACACGGTTATCTCATTGCGGTGGTGCGACACCAGGAGCTGCTCCTGCACTGAATCAAAAGGCTGGGGTGTGACTGTTCCACTTGGGGATAGCAGAGCTGGTGTTTTGGGAGTGCTCAGCAGAGAGGGGGCTGGACACTACAGGGGAACAGGGACTGGGGGCCACCTACTGTTAACCTGCACTGCAAACAGGGGCTGGCGTAGCCCAGAGGCGGTTGTTTGGTGGCTGATGGTGTGGCCAGTGGTGTCAGGGAGCTGACATCCAGTTTAGCACAAGCAAGTCTGCCTCCTGCTGGGGCCTGGGCAGGGGCAGGGGCGGGGGGAGGTAACAAGGGTGACTCAGCCTTAGGTACCACAAGAACCATCACACAAGCTCATGGCACACACCAGGAGCTCCTTGCACCCTCCCATTTCCCCCCGCCAGCTCCCTGGGTGCCACCCTCCCATATGGACTCCCCCCTGCAAGTGAGTGCCTCTATCCTCCCCTCCTCCCATACCAGGGTACCCCATTCCATGGCACAGTCTCTGTGTGTGCCCCCATTCCTTTCTTTGTCCCCCCTCCTGTTTCCCCCCCCACCAGGTCCTCTACTCTCCCTGCCAGGGGTTCGATTCCCCTCACTCTATGCCAACATCTTCCATTCTCTGCCCCAGGCCAGGGGCTCTGTGTGCACCCTCTTCTCCCCATTTCCTCCTGCCCCCCATTCTAGGAGCTCTGTGTGCCCCACTCCCCCATACCAGGGTCCCCCAGAGTGTTAACTTGTTAAAACTCTACTTGGTGGATGAGCAGTGCTGAGGTGGGGTATTGTTATGCTGACAGGTGTTAAAAGGTGTCATCCACCTGATGTATAGACACTTGCAGAGGTGCTGGAAGCTGTGGCTGTAATAAGCAGATGGCTGGGGCTCCAAGGTGTCCCCCATTTTTCCCCCTTTCAATTTTCCCCCAGATCATTGGGGTTCTGCCCACTGATGCCTGGAATGGTCCCTGGAATGCTGAAATTAATCAAATGAGGCATTCAAATGTTATCACATTACAGACAAACACAGAAATGCCATTGAGGGAAGTGTAAAGCCTTCACAATCTCAGCTAAAGAAAAGGCACATGTCCTCCTGCATCTGCGCACAAGCCAACCTCTCACTAATGGGGCTAGGAGGAAAATTATTCCAGAATTGTTCACTTCAGGGTCTTTTGTACCTTCCTCTGCAGCATCTGTTGCTGGGCGCTGCCGGAGACGGGAACCTGGACTAGATGAAGCCTGGGGCTGATCCCATCGGGCAGTTCCCATGCTGCACTTTGCTCCCTACAGGGGACATGAGTGCATTTCCAGTTGCTTCTGGGATGGTGTTTTCCTTCAGCTATGTCATGCCATGTGTGTATTTGCTCTTTCTGGTTTCCCTTTCACATTTTCTCAGGAGCAGCAGCATTCTGTCAGGGAGTCCTAGCGTGAAACATTAGAAATGGAAAATTCCCCATTGCAAAACAGTGGTGTGTGTCACACCGCTGAAGCAATTAGTCTAGTGCGGGGCTAATTAGCTGACACTGGAGGAGGCCCCGTGCCCAGTGGAGTTCTAGCCATGGGCTGAACAGGGCTCCACGAGGACTTTGAATTGTCTTTTCTGGAATGGCTGGTTCAGGGGATTTGGTGTCTGTGAATGAGTTTTTGGGGATTCAACCCCAGTGCAAGCTCTCTCCATGCCCCAGCCCAGCCAAGCCAATGGGGGAGTGCAGAGTTCAGCCTTTGGCCTCTCCGTCACAGCCCCTTTATGCTGCTCGGGTGGCACTAAGGGGCGGTAGAGCTGGCAGATCTGGCCACCTGGTGATTCCCCGTGCAGTGTAAGGACTTGACACCGCCCTCGTGCATGGAGCAGGACACAGTCCAGGGGCAGGAGGCGTGGCTAGAGCATGGCTATGCTCCGGCTACCGGTAGCTGTTGGATCAGCCCCTGGATGTTAGGCAGTTGGGAGGAAGTCAGAGCAGCCCTGAGAACAGGCCAGAACAGAAGAGGAGCTAAGAAGTCACCTTTCTCTGTCCTCCCCTGCCCTGCATGCCTGCCTGGAGCAGAGGTGGATCAGGGTTCTCAGGTGGCATAGAGAATCCTATCTAGGCACCTGGCTAGTGGGTCATACTCACATACTCTGCTTCACACTGATGGCCAGTTTTTTGGGTTGGGAAGGAATTTTCCCCAGGTCAGATTGGCAGCAACCTTGCAGGAGGCAGCGGGGCAGGGGTGTTCATCTTCCTCTGCAGCATAGGGTATGGATCACTTGCTGGGATCAGCTGGGCACATCTTACCTAATCAATGACAGGTTTCAGAGTAGCAGCCGTGTTAGTCTGTATCCGCAAAAAGAACAGGAGTACTTCTTTGGATGTAGCCCACGAAAGCTTATGCTCTAATAAATTTGTTTGTCTCTAAGGTGCCACAAGTACTCCTGTTCTTCTTACCTAATCAATTTCCTGCCATTCATGACACCTCGGTCTCTCCTGTTCTCTGCCTATGGCACATCAGGAATGACTGTGAATTGCAATGAATAGTCACTGGGCCATAGAGTGACCAGACAGCAAGTGTGAAAAATTGGGATGAGGGTGGGGCGTAATAGGAACCTATATAAGAAAAAGACCCAAAAATTGGGACTGTCCCTATAAAATGGAGACATCTGGTCACCCTACTGGGCCAAAGAAGGAGAGAAGGACTCTGCAGTCTGGGGGTTAGGGCCCTCACCTAGAACGTGGGACACCCAGACTTAGGACCCTGCTCCAATCCCTACTCATCTGATGCAAAGTGAAAGAGCGTCAACAGGAGAGACTGAGGCAGCCCTACACCAGACTATCCCCTTAGCCCAGGCTAAGCCATTCTCCTGCCACCTCATATCTGGGGGTTGGGGAGGAATTGAATCGGGGTCTCCCACAGCTCAGGTAAATGCCCTAATCACCAAGTGAAAGGTCCCATCCACCAGTGTTCTGTCAATCTGCCCCTCCTCCACTTTTGTCAAATGCCCGAA